TACTCAATAAATATTTGTCCATAAAGAGTGGCCTATATGGCAGCAATTCTTTCAGTTGCTCATGCAAAAACCCTGAGTTCATCCTTATGTCCTGTCTCTTCCTATATCTTGCTTGACAAAGTTTCCCCAACTCAAGCCTATGAAAACATTCTCTTCTACTTTTCTCTAATGCTTTTATTTTTTAAAATTCTTTAATTCAGATAGATTTTCTTTTCTTTTTTTTTTTTGTCTTTGATGTGAGGTGGAGACTACCTTCACTTTTATTTAACGAGTTAAACAATTTTCCCAAGACCGTTTACTGGTTGATCTGTACTTTACCCAGTTATAGTCTTTCTATTTTGTTTTATTGATCTGCTTTCCTGTTCTTGGCCAATGCCATGCTCTTCCAGCTGATACATGTTTATAGCATTTTTTTCATATCTGGTAAGTAAATTTTACCATCTTTCTTCTTCTCTTTTAAAATGTTTGTGGTTAGCCTTGAAAATTTTGTTTTCCAGTTGAGCTTGAGAGTCAGCTTATGAAATTCTTCATTAAAGTGTTTTTATCTAATCATTTGATCCAGTAATCCCACTTCTAGGAACCTATACCAAAGCTATATTGGCATGCCCATACAAAAAGGCAGAATTAAGGGCCAGCTCTAGAATAAATGAGTATCTCTAAAGCCCCTACAGTAGACTCCAAATATCCATTACCCACTAAAAAGAAACAGGAATTCTTGAAGAAATAGCTGACTTCAGGTCTATGGCAGGAAATATACAACATGAACTTAAAATATCCTGTCATGACAGAAAACAAAGAAGCTGTTAAAGACTACTAAGGTCATGCCAAAGAGAATCAGGAACCATCCTACAAAGGCTTCTACTGGCCAAATAAAGGGCAATTTGAGTATCAATAAAAATAACATTTGGAATGGATTTAAATGTATCAAGTATTTTATATATATATATACTTAAGTGTGTGTGCATATACCTATGTGCATGTGTGTGTGTGTGTGTGTGTGTGTGTGTGTATATATATATATATTTATTTATTTATATTTCCAGTTGGTACACATTCCAGGAGAAAAATCCTATCAACATAAACAATAATTGGAATGGGCTGAAACACACACATACACTTTTTTTTTTTTCATTCAGTACCACTTCTGGGAGAAAGTCCAACTGTCTGCTAAGAATGACATGAATTAAGACATTATTTGTCTTTAAAATTATACTTCCCATATTCAAATGGTAACTCCTAGTTCTAGTACTCCAAGTTATGGCAAGTTGTGTTTACATCATACTCACTCTTTACTAGGTAATAAACTCTCTGTTTTTCTGAACTGTTCCACTCTGAAGTCTTAATCTAACCTCCATGGACACTTCTCTCTGTGTTCATTTTGGCAACTATCTCTTCTACAAGGTCATGGCAGGTAACAGTAAGCAATTCACTAAAAAAATGAGAATTTCAATAGAGAAGAAAAAATCGTCTTTTTCATCATGATATTCTTGGTAGTGCCTGGCACAGAGTATGTGCTCATAAGTAATTATTCAATGAATGAATAAAGTGGATAAACTCTAGGATACTCTAGAGAGAGTTCCTTGAGTAAGTTGGTTCCTGAGTGAGTAGCAGGAATGTGCATGTGTGTTCATGTGTGTACTACATTTTGTATAGTTTCACACACACACAAAAAAAGATAAGCTTAAAGTGGATAAACTCTAGGATACTCTAGAGAGAGTTCCTTGAGTAAGTTGGTTCCTGAGTGAGTAGCAGGAATGTGCACGTGTGTTCATGTGTGTACTACATTTTGTATAGTTTCACACACACACAAAAAAAGATAAGCTTTTCATTTTGTGCATTACTATCCTTCTGAAACAAACAAATGCAGTCTTCTAGTATTAATCTTAGCTCATGTCAATAATATTCCTTGACATCAGGCCAGGTTAGGATATAGTGGAGATTTCTTGCTATACTACTCATTACACACAAAAACACTTTGAGCTGGAGTTCTTTGTTTCTTGCAGAAAACTGGTGAGTATTTACAGGAACCATTATATCTGTTGGCAAGACAATATATTAAGCTTAAAATAGCCAGAAGAATAGCAGGACTAGTAGTCCAAGCAAAGAATTACACAAGATCTGGGTTTGGAATGCACTTTAAAGACAGATGAGGGGTGGATGATTTACTGAAAATAATTTACCCCCCCCCCCAACCAATCTTGGTGCTTCATCATCCTTGAATAAAGACATAATTCAATAAAAACATTTTTCATACCACAGATTTAAGAAGTAAATAGATCTGTGGTAATGTTTGTGGAATGTGGTAGAAGCCTGGCACTTAATCCTCTTTTTAGTGTTCCTGAAATAGTTCACATCATCTGCTACCCTTTGTGAGGCATTTAAGAAAGAATTTTTTGGTTCGGAATATTGAATGAGGCAAATCTTTGGCTGCCAAAGAAAAACTCAACATGAACTTCTTATGGCAAAAGGTTATCACCATCTGTATTGTATCAAGCCTCTGATTAGCTTGTATAAATATCTGGCAGGAAAGTAAGCTTCCCCTGTCCAGCAATAGTCATTAGAATGATAAAAATGCAGGGTTGTGTAACACTGTTCTAACACCCGAGATCCATCACCATTACACAAGACGGCACCCCCCACCCCCATCCCAAGTCAGACCACAAGAGAACTGTTTTGAAAAATTGTCTTAGGAAAAAAAAAAAAAAAAAAGAGGTCACAACAAATCTGGCATGGGGACAATATTTGCTCTTGAGTTCCATTGCTTAAACTACATGCAGACATAGTACCAAGTGCAACACAACCTTAGCTGCAGTTACCCATTGTGACCGGCCTTGACTGAGGATACTAACTAGAGAGGCTAAGAAGTCATCTTTTAAACAATTTGATACTGTGATCTCATACCTATTGTGACTACATCAGAGCTATTCTCCTTCCAGGAGCAGAAAATTAGTAAATGATGTCAGTGTTTCAACTTGTTTTCCACATAAATTTTTTCCTTATAGGAAACGTTAAGTACAAACAAGCCACCATAAGCTACTTATAATACTTTCCTCACCACTCAAACTCTAAAATTTCAACAAACTTCATCTGTTATATAGTTAATATTTTAAATTTAAATACTCACATATTCTTTACTTCAAAGGATGTTTATTGTTTTATATTTTTGAATATTATTTGCGGGAAAAGAAATTATTCTATTGGTTCATTATTTTTTGGACTTCATACATTCTAGTCATTTTTCATTTTCGTTTCATCATAATTCCTTCTGAATTAGGTAGAAGTGTCTCAAGCTTTTCTTCCATATCACTGTTTTTGTTTTGTGCAGAGTTGTTTTCTTCCCCTCTACTTATAATTAAGAATTAATCCTGGCATTGTGTTTTATTTTTGCTGTTACAATATTTCTTTATCTTACACAATTCTCTATTTCTTCAGTTTCTTAGCTAGTTTTGTTTTAGTTTCAATCCTGTTGTTATCCCCTCATTTCTCATCTCCATTATAATGTTTTATTTATTTATGTTAAGTGCACGTAACAAATGCTTTCCTAGATTTAGTTCTGTTTTTCATAGTGAATTCTTACACTCTCTTACATTCGATCTTTACTTTATTTAGCGGGAAACATTCAAAGAAGCCAGATACAGTGGTGGGTTTTTCCCCTCCTTTTTCCTCACTCATTAATGAAGTATATCCAGTCATAGTGTTTGCAACAAACAGTAAACAACTGGGTAAAATGAGTGTTGGAATGCATGCCTGTAAAATTTGCTATCTATCATTATTATTATTAATTTTTATTAAAAAAACTGATAACCTATCCAAGTGACTGGAGAAAAGGGTTAAAAATAAGCTGTACACTATGTCTGTTTAAAAACAGAGGGCTTAGATGAGTACTGTCCAGTAGAAACCTACCTGTTCTATTATAGTAGCCACTTGCCACATGTGGCTCTTGAGCACTAAATGAGGCTACTGCAACTGAAGAACTGAGTTAATAATTTTATTTAATTAATTTAAATTTAAACAGACACATGTTGTCAAGTGGCTACAATATTGGACAGTAAAGGTCAAGAAAGATATATCCTCATCGCAGGATGAAAAACATACAAAAAGTCTAGAGCAGGCCTATAAAAATATTCTGTAAGTTCAAGAAATGCAAAATCAACTTGAGGATTTAGAAGAGTGCATAATTTAATACTGAAATAAGATGAAAATAAGCATAATAGAATGGTGTTTATATTATTAGGATTTAGAAAGTCAAAGTCTCTATAAAAACAAGACCTAAAAGTCAATGAAAGAGAACAGGCAAAGATGAAAAGAGAGATGTGTAGGAGGAGAGTGATTTGATAAGAAAACAATGCAAGGAAACTCAAAATAAAATGAAAGACTCAGAAATCCACATTGTTCATAGTGAGATAAAATGTCAGAAATCCAAACTGATAAATTTTCATACAAAATTTAGCATAGAAAGCTTCTGACTAATCTCATTTACAAACATAGTCACAAAATTCTGAATAAATACTACCAAACTGAACTCAAACAATATTCAATATTATGTTGCTCTAATGCAACATAATCATTGTCCCAATTAAAAGACAATAATAACTCAAGATGCTAAGAGGCATTCAATAAAATTAACTTCTCCTTTTTTATGAATAAAAAATTAGGAATAAAAATATACATCAATATCATAGATGATCTCAAAACAACAATGGAAACCATCCTGAACTGCATAAAAACAGCAGATTTCCCAATTAGATAAGGAAGAAGTCATCAATTCTATGTATTTTCACTATTTAATATCATAGATGATCTCAAAACAACAATGGAAACCATCCTGAACTGCAGAAAAACAGCAGATTTCCCAATTAGATAAGGAAGAAGTCATCAATTCTATGTATTTTCACTATTATTTAAAATCCTTTTGAAACTTCCAGCCAAAGTGATAAGGCACAAAACCATAGAAAGTACTGCACTTCTTAAGGCTCTGTTTCTTAAACAATCAAAATTAGAAAGCAAGAAACCAACAAGAAATTATATGCATGGTGCTTATCAAACATATTATTAATGTCCCTAAAATATAAAGAAACTTTGTAGATCTCCAAGGGAAAAGAAAGAAAAATAACAGAAACATAGCTGAGTGTTTTGACCAAACAAAACAAAGACAAAAAGAAAAAAGAAAAAAAGAAATTCTACTTGTTAGAAAATACAAAAAATCTTTAACTTCACTAATACCATAATCATGTACCATGTGTGCTAAATAATAGTAACACTTTTTTTTTCACTTCTCAAATGGTCAAGTTTTTTTAAAAGTTTCAAAATTGTAAAATACGTGGGGAAACAGATATAGTACTTCTGTTGGGAGTACACTTAGACTGGTAATATTTGAAGTACAGTTTTACAAAATGATCCATTCCTTAAAAATTTCACACAATGTGAACTTAAATTCTACAAGTAAGTATATCTTAAGGAAGTAACCACGGATACACACACAAAAATGACCAAAAGGATGTATATCCCTGAATGATTTACAATAATAAAAAATTGGAAACAATATAAAATTCCAACATAAGGATACTAGTGAAATAAATTATAGGGCAATCATGTAATATCATTACAATGTTATTGTTAAATAATCTTAATTAAGAAGTAGGCAACCAAGCAAGTTGATTTTATTACATATATGTACATTACATTTGTGTGCATGTATGTGAGAATGTACTATGTGTATATATGTATGTATGCATATGACTGACAGAATACACATCAAAATGTTGACCATCTCCTATTAGTATGTTTTTAGGGGGTATTTACTTCTATTTTGTAGTTTTATATCACTTCCAAATGTTCTCTTTTTCCTTTCCTCTATCCCTTCCCTGGAGAAAACCATGTGAACTCCCAACTTTGACTTTCACCTATAGACTAATGGCTCTTAAACCTATGTCACAATAAACTCTTAAACTCCCATTGTGAAGTTCCAGTGACCCAGTGGACACCTCTGCCTGAGCGCACCATTAGGCCTCGCAGACTCACCCTATTCTCTACATGCACAGATAAGCGTTCTCTCTTCCTGTTTTCAAGAGATATCACATGTGGCACCCCATCCTCCAAGTCGGAAATGTAGAAGTAATCTAATATGTCATCTTTCTAGTCTATCATATTTAGTAACCATCCTGACCTGTACATTTCACCTCTGAGTTATCTACCTACCTTACAATCTTATTGCCCCAGCCTTGGTTCAGCTACTTAAGTCCAGATTCTTTAAAAAACAAGAGTTGTTTTAAGCATCTCTGGCTGAAGCTGCTCTTCTTTCAGATCCATTTTCTGATGTGCCTTCAAAGTTATCTTTCTGAAATACTGATCTGATCATGTTTTTAAACTTCCCATATTTTTCCTTTGGTCAACAAAATAAAGTCTAAACTTCTTTACATATCCTTTTACCATCTAGTCCTGATTAACACTTCCAGCCACATCACTTACCACACCCCTGTCTCCTATCTACTTCCCCAACCTACCTCTTGCACTCTATTCTGGCTACACCAGTCTTTGTGGATTTTGGAATATACCATGCTTCTCGATGTTTGCTCTGCCTAGAAATTCTAACAACTCTTTCTCATCTCCCAGTATGTGCACCTCTGAATTTCACTAGTTCTTTAAAGTTTAGATCTAAGTTCATTTCCTCTTTGAAACTTTACCGAATTCTTCTGTGCATAAAACAAATCCATCTCAGTGTCTTTACTCACATTCCATCACACTGACCCCTTCATAATTATAACTAATGCTTATACACCTAGCTGTCTCCTAAGCTAGATTGCAAGGTGCTCTATGGCAGGGATTGAATCTTATATTCTCATTCTATTGATAGAAAAAAGTCACTATGAAATAAGTGAATGAAAAAGCAAACAAATGCCTTAATTTTTATTAGCTATGTGTCCAACAGGCGGAATAAACTAAGAAATTCTAGGCCAACAATTGTCATGACAGTCAATTATTTTCTGTAATCATGAAATGAAAACTCTTATAAATATTATATTTAAATTTATTTCATCAAATCCATATTGAGTCTCTAATACATAGCAGGCACTGTGCTATGAATTTCTAACTGTGCTATGTGATGATGCAACAGAACCATTAACTAAAAACAAAAATAATGAATAAAACAATGACAAAAGTGTAACTGGAAAGAGTATTCTGCAGTGACTGAGCTTTCCTTATTTATATTGTAAGTTCAAATCAATCATATTTAGTATGTCTCATTTATTTTAAGTATTTACTCAGGCTTCATAGACTGAAATTCTAGAAAAAAAAATTTTTTTGGCCTAAGTAACATTTAGGCTATTTATTACAGTCTAGCCAAATCACAGAAGAAAAAGAGGGTCAAAGAAGAACTTAATTTCAGATTTATGGTCACAGAGTTTTTCCACCCACATACATGCTTTAGTTATTAAACTTGGACACAAATTATTTTGAAATGGACCCATAGGGACAGTACATCACAGTGAAAAAT